TGCCCAGGAACCTGCCGCGCACGAAGCTGCGCCGGGTCCGCGGGTCCACCAGCACCTTCGGGACCTCGCTCCTGGCCGCGGCCGCCGAGCCGCCGTTCCGAGCGGGCTCTGCCCTGGCCGCCGGCCGCGCCGGTTCTGCCCGGGGCAGGGCCCGCACCGCCTTGCCGCCCGCCACACTCATGCCGTGCCGTGCCGTGCCGTGCCGGGAGCGCAGCGCACCGGGAGCGGCCGGGGGAAGCCGGTGGCGCAGGCGCAGAACGGGCAGGACCAATTCAAACACCGCTCACGATCGTTACCGCGGCCGCTGCCCATTGGCCCGGAGGATTTAAACTCCACGCCGCGGCGCGGGGCACCATGGGAGCGCTGCGCTTTAAAGGCCGTTAAGCGGCAGAGCGGGACACGCGGTGGGGCCGGGGCACGCGAGCTGCCCCCGTGGTAACGGCCCGGGGAGGGGGCCCGGGTGGGTCCCGGCAAGAGGAGGGAAGGGATCGGATCGGATCGGATCGGATCGCCCCGCTCCGCTCTGGGGCCCCCCCTCTCCCCGCAGGGCTCTGTGCTGCTCTGGGAGCTTCTAACGGGGCTCTGTGCTGCTCTGGGAGCTTCTAACGGGGCTCTGCGCTGCTCTGGGAGCTTCTAACGGGGCTCTGCGCTGCTCTGGGAGCTTCTAACGGGGCTCTGTGCTGCTCTGGGAGCTTCTGATGGAGCTCAAAGCTCCTCCAGCTCCAACCCCTGCCACGGGCAGGGACACCTTCCACTGGAGCAGCTTGCTCCAAGCCCCTGTGTCCAACCTGGCCTTGAACACTGCCAGGGATGGGGCAGCCACAGCTTCTCTGGGCACCCTGTGCCAGCGCCTCAGCACCCTCACAGGGAGGAGCTTCTGCCGGAGAGCTCAGCTCAGTGTCCCCTCGGGCAGGTTAAAGCCATTCCCCTTGGCCTGTCCCTGCAGGCCCTTGTAAACATCTCATTTAGGAGTCCCCCACGGGACCATTTGTGGGTGAAAGCCGCGCGCTCAGAGGCAGCTGGTTCACGCTGTACCTCACTTTCTAACACACTGGCACTGTAACAACCAATACCAACCAGAACACAAGAGCCTGCAGCTCATGTGCCTGGGGAACAGCAGAAACCTCCACCTAGTCTGAAGTTTGATTTGCAGAGTCACAACCTTGCATTGCTTGAACAACGGAAGAGGCTTTAATTTACACATAGTAAAAATACAAACAGAGCAGTCAGTGCTTGCACATTTAACCATGGTTACTGCACGCTGGTCCAGCTGTTGGCTACTTGAGGTGTATCAGCACTTTGTTATAAAGAATGGCTGAAGGCTCAGGGCTGCTGATGTCGCAGCCACGCACCTACTGCATCACTAACACAATCCCAGCCTCAGCTGCTATAACTACAACATGTGGGAGGCCAGTTTTAAACCTAGGGAAGGACAATGCAAAGCTTTAGCTAACACAGCCAGAGCAGGCACATCATTTTCAGTCAGTTGTCTGGTACTGGGTCACGTACATGCAGTATCAGCTGCTCCCAGCAAGAATTACTCCTGCCCTGTTCAGTGTCAAGGATGGAATGTGCACTCTTTCCAGGAAGTCTGAATCTCCCCCTTAGGTTTAATGATGCAGAAAAGCATCAAAGAGCTTCCTGCAAATATACACACTGGGAAATAAATGGGGACAGTTGCAGCATTCTCTCACCCACCTTTGCTTCCTGCTTTTAATTACCCTATTTCTGCTGTGCTGAGCTCTGGGAGTGACATGGAGTGAATCCTCTTCCCAAAGCCCTTTGGCTCTTTATGGTCTGCAATGCTCAGGAAGTAGAGCATGCACTGGCCACATGAATGACAACCCTGTGTGACAGGTGAGAGCTTCAAGAGCTAAAAGCTATGAACTGTCCTGTCAGGCAGGGCATGGAGAGACAGGTTTCAATGTCAGCCAGAAGTCCTAAAGCCAGTGCCCACGTAATGAACAATGAATCTCAGTTCAGGGGGAAAAAAGGCAGAGGGCATCCACCTCAACTCACAGCCCTATAGAGCAGCACCTATTCTGGCAATGGAAAGCACTGGATCTGTGAGCCTTGTAAGGAACTGTCCCAACACACCCATCACCCACACAGTCCTTCTGCTCGAGGATGCACGCTGCTTCTAGCCTTGTTCCCCAGCTGCAGTGAGGAGATGCTACCCCAAAGCGAGCTGTATCAGCTTTCCCAACTGGCACGATTCAGACAACATGGAATGAATGACACCCAAATGAGCACACAAAGGTTAAACCACAAGATACAGCAGCTTTCAGGAAGGGCTGCTTGGCCAGACCGTCAGCGCTGAGGAACACTCACAGAGTGCTCAGAACAGTGAGGGCCGAGGCCTGGTCTCACTGAACAACCCCCTCCCTGCACCCAGAACTCTCCCAAGTGCCTCTACTGCTCTGAGACATGAAATGGGCTACTAGACCTGTGTGAGTGGCAGGAACTTCTGGTAATAGCTCTTTGTAACATCAATCATGAGCTCCTGGGTACATTCCGGGAGTTCCCCAGAGAAGAGCCCTGCAAGAAGAACAAGAGTGTGAGCATCAGTGTTCTTGCAGGAGAAAGCAGAAAGTAAGTTTGTATTCGACATTCAATCAGCCACTTGGATTGAGTTGTAGGTAAGTACAAATGGAACAGCAAAGGGCTCATCTCTGAAGTGGAGCTACTCAGTATGGTTGTTCACACTGTACCCCCAGGGCAGACAGGCTGCCCAGCTGGGTCCTTACAGCTCCCACTGGTCCCCACAAAGCACCACCAGAAAACAAATGATGGAGTGTGCAATTTGTACAGCGAGGTCTCCAGCACAGACAGGCCGATGGGCAGGAACTGAACTAAACTAACAGCACTTTAACATAACTCCCTCCCTACTAACATAGGAATAAGGAGCCAGTGGTCTTCTTACAGTCTGAACCACTGAACCTCCTGCAAAATCAGAAACCATGGGAGGAGGAGAATAAGTTACGATTGTTATTTTTCAGTTCAAGTGCCCCATATCTTCATTTCCAGGCACTAAAGGCTAATGGGCAAATCCATCACAGCAATCTCCATTTAAAACAAGAACATCCACATTATCCACACTTCTGTGCAAGTAAAGCTGGAGGGAGCGTACCTGGGCAGCCCGAGAACACTGTGAACGGTGGGACGACTGTTTCAGGAGGTAGGACTGTGTTGTCTAAGATTTTGCAGCAGTCTTTCAAAACGCACCTGCGGCCCTAGAACAGAGATTAGGGCAAGTTTATGCTTAAAACACTCTTTGCTTTGCTTATGACTGAGGAGGTACCTAAACTTCCACAAGTTTAGCTGCTAAAAGCATTCTATATAAAGGAAAGCAGAAGTGTGGAGGGAAGAGGAGGTTGTGGAAGGAAGCTGTGCTTACAAAGCCTCAGTATTCCAGAGCTTAAGGAGAAGACTGGGAAATGGCACTCACAATGACACAGTTCTTGCCTATGTGGACATAGGAGCCGATCTGGGCTGCATTGACCACACAGTCCTCTTCTATGAAGACATGATCACCAATGTGGAGAGGGAAAAAAGCCACCCTGCAAGAGGAAAGGTATTTGTAGAACAGACAGACTGATCTGTGACACTGTGAGACCCCAAATCACACTGTGGAGTCTCCTGTCTCCCGCTGGATTGCCAGAGGCAGAGGTGCTGCTGAAGACAGAATGACCTTTCTCATCTCTTCCCAAAGGATGTCCTGAATGAGCAACAGGCACAGGCTGTGCATACACAAACGTTATTCACTTTGCTATTTGAACATGTCCCATATATTTCCATATTATGGGCTGAAGGAATGCAAACCCTCAAGGCAGAGCTGGAACACTGTAGAAAACGCAGGTTTAGAGGGATGTATTTGTGTGGACTGCTGCAACAGGCACACTGCCCTCCAAACACAGACCTCAGCCGAGCCAGTGCAGCCTTTTCAGCCCATGGATCTTAAGCTCAGTCTCCCCAAAGAAAAGGGACCTCTTACCCTTTGCTGAACTTCTTGAAGGGCGGCCTGATGACGCTGCGGCTTTTCACCACGCAGTGTCTCCCAACCCGGACGTTCGCCAGGTCACCGCGGATGATGCAGTCGTTCATAACTATTGTCTGCAAAAGAGAAGACACAAATGAGCTCCAGTTCCTACGCATGATACCAGTTACTGCACAGGCTCACGCAGAGGTCCGGCCGCTCCAGAGAGTTTCCATTACCTTACAGACAACTCTTTCAGGCAAAAGAAAAGTGACACCAAAGCAAAGAAAGGAGGCTGAAGGTCTCAGTTCAATACAGACCAACCCCAGCAGCCATTTTATGTTCCCCAAACTCTAAACTGACTCCAGAAATTTATCTGCAACCTGCATACTGTGTGTCTGGGCAAACCACCTCATCTCTGGATGTCACTCCTTTAAGCTCTAAGGGTTAATCACAGAATGGTTTGGGTTGGAAAAGACCTTAACATCGTCCAGTTCAACCCCCCTGCATGGACAGGGACATCTCACACTAGAACCCATCACCCAAAGCTCTGCCCAGCCTGGTCAGTGCCGAGCAGAGCCCGGTACCGCGGGGTGCTCAGCTCAGCTCAGCGCAGCAGCACCGACAGGGAGCCCGCGGCCTGCCCGGCCGAGCTGCAGGCGGATGAACCCCGGTGCGGTGGGGACGCGGCAGCCCGCTCCCGGTGCCTACCTTGCCGTTGAGGACGATGTTCTGGCTGCCGCACAGCACGGACTGACGGCTCACCTTGTTGCCGGACGCCTGCGGGGAGAAGGGTCGGGTGAGTGCGGCCGCCTCCGGACCCCGGTACCGCTGCCAGGCCCCGGCGAGCCCGGCTCAGCCCTCGGTTCCCCGCTGCTCCCGTTCCCGTCCCGCGCCCGCCCCGCCCGCACCGTCTCGATGTACTCGGACTTGTTGTAGAGCATCTCGCTCAGCTCCATGGCGGCTCCGCTTCCGCACGGCCGCTCCCGGCTTCCTGCGCATCACGTCCGCCCGCCCCCGGCGCTTCCGGCGCGGTTGCCATGGGCACGCAGGGCCCGGCGCGGCGGCCATGGAGGAGCCGGCGGGCGGCGGGGCCCTCAGCGGCTCGCAGAGGGAGCAGGTACCGGAACGGGGCCGGGGCGGCGGTGTGAGCCCGGTGCGGGCCCGGTGCCAGCCCGGTGCGTTGTGTGTTGCAGCTGCGGGAGAAGCTGGCGCTGCTGCGGAGGGAGTACAGCGAGACCGTGAGCCGGCTGCGGGTGAGCGGGATGGGACTGGCCGGGCCGGGCCGGGCCGGGCGCGGGCACGGTGGCAGGAGCCCGGTCGCAGCCCCGCCGGTGTTGTGTGTGTGTGTGTGTGTGCAGCGGGCGCGGCGAGCAGAGCGAGCCAGGAGCCACGGCCGGGACGCGGAAGGAGGCCGGCGGGCGCCGAGCCCCGCAGGTAGGAGCCGGCGGGCGGCGGGAGCTGCGGCGAGGCCCAGTGCCCCCTCCGGGGCCGGGGCCAGGGACAACCCGGGACAGCCCGGACCGGCCACTGCAGCCTGCCCTGCGGGGCGGGCCCCAGCTCCGCTGCCCCCAGACCCACATGATGGTCCCTGCCATCTTCTCCCTCTGCACCAGATCCCAGTCCTTTGCTCCCAAAAACGTCTTCTAGCTTTACCGTGTGATGTCCTGCTGGGATGGGGCTTTGCTGGGAGTACTTTACGTGTATGACATTCTTTCCCACAGGTTCTAGAGATACAGAACCTCCTAGTGCTGACAAACATGAAACCTCACAGTTACAGACTAAACCCTGCTCCGGGCTTGGCACACAGGAGCAAACATCTGGTGCATTCAGACATGTTCCCGAGAGGGGCCTGCAGGGCAGCTCACAGGCAGAAGGCATGCAGGCTAGTCAGGAAATGCTGTGTGCTGGAATTGCCAGGCCTAGCCCTGAGGAGAACAAACACCAAAGCTCCAGAAGCCTGCTGAGGCTGAGGAGACGGGTGAAGGCTCGGGTGTCGGGGGGATCAGTGCGTGATGTGCCTCTCAGCAGCACTGGTGAAACGGTGACAAATCGAATTGTCAGCACACGGGAGCTGCAGTCTCCAGTCTTCAGGCAAAGCAGTGCCTCAGCCACTGAGGAAACGGCTCCGAGAACAGCAGGACCAGCACTTGCACAGAGAGAAGAGAATGGTTTCACTCCTCCCAGTGCAGTGTCAGGAGTCACACAAGACTCTGTCCCTCCAGGAGCACCTGAGCTCTTCCCATGTGTACTGCAGGACAGCAGCAGTGTCTGGCAGCCCAGGTCCCCGGGTGCTGTGCCCTCATCTGACAACCCTGAGCCTGCATGGCCGTGTTCAGAGAACAGAGACTCTGCTTTAGTTGACATCAGTGCTGATGGAGGAAAGGAATCCCCCAGTGTAATCAGCCAAACGGTTGGTGAGAGTATGTGTGAAGATCAGGGGGAATTACGTAGGCTCTTGGATTTAATGTCAGAAAATGAGGCATTGTCTCCTGATGGAAATAAGACTGTAACTAACGAGAGCAAAAGCCACGAGGGGAATCAGAGTGATGCTGGTAGCTTAGATCCCTTTCCAGCAGATCTTGCTCTGGACGGTGTTGAAGAACTGCTGGAGAACCAACAGCTTGAAACTCAGTCAAGACTTTCTCCTCTGGAAAACGTGGCAGCCCCTGGAAGCACCCTGAGCTCGTGCACGGTGGTTGAAGGGCTTCTCTTCCCAGTTGAATACTATGTCAGAACAACTCGGCGCATGTCCAGCTGCCAGAGGAAGGTGGACCTCGACGCTGTCATCCTCAGCCAGCTGGGCAGGAACAAGAAGGGTCAGCGAAGTAAGTGCAAGCTCAGAGATGTAAATTCGGATCAGCCCTCCCAAGAAAGAGCTGAAAATGATTTGGTGTCAGGGATAGTGCCATTCCCTTGCCTTGGGGCAGAAAATGATCCAGCGAATACAGGTAGTCCTCAGAGATCTCTTCCTGCCTCCAGTGGTAGCAGCACTTCCCTTGGATCCGTTTCCCAGAGCAGTATCACTAGCACAGGGCGAGATCGGAGACAATCACAGAGGAAGCAGAAGGGAAGAAGAAAGTCTGCCAGCAACCCCCCTGTGCGTCTGGTGTCACCAGAGCTCATCGAGAGCCTGGATCTCGTAGTGGCGAGGGAAGGCAGCAGTCTGCTGTCAGATGAGTGTCAGAGCCAAAAGGGAAACTGTGATGGGGGTCTGGAAAAGCCACCTTCAGAGGAGAGAAGGTTCTCTGCTGCTGCAGCTCTTGGGGCTACAGAGACAGGAGGGGCTGGTGCTGTACAGGCGAGGAGTGTGGATCCTGCTCCAGTGGGGAGCCCAGTGCTTGACAAGTGCCTTAAGACTCTGTTAGAACAGCCTCAAAGTCTACTTCAGGACAGTGATTCTCTGCACCTGGGGAATGGAGCTTCTCCCATCCACACAGGAGACCTGGAAGCCAGCTTCCCTGTGTGCCAGGCTGATGGAGAGCCAGCAGAGCCTGTGGGGAAGGAGCAGGTACCCGAAGCCTGCAGGGCTGAGCTGCTCCCGGTGATTAACTTCCCCCTGCGCCGCTCTCTGCGTTGTGCTGCGAGGCAGAGAGCAGGAGGGCACATGGCAAAAGGTCCTGAGGGTCTTGCTCCTCTTGGCCTCCCTGCTGTGGACCTCGATACTTGTGGCTCTCTCTTCTCCTTCCGCAGCCTCCAGTGGCTGGCCCCCAGGCTGGGTATCAGGGACTTCCACTTACCTGATGAGGAGTTTGGACTACTAAAACATGAGAAGCTAAAATCTTCCCCTGTGAATGACTTGGAAGTTTTCGTTCCGAGTGTGTTTGGAGACGGAGTGGCTGCAGAGGACACAAAGGATGCACAAATGACTCCAGAAGAAAGATGTCTCAGAAGTGATTTGATTTCACCTTTCAAAACTGGGCTGCCCAAGTCACCTCACGCAGAAAGCCCAGCTTCCAAGAAGGAGCTTTCCACCCACGAATTGCTCCTTACTCCTGTGGGGACTGTCTTGGCTGCTGCTCCCACTCAGCCGGGGTCCCAGATTTCCTCATGTGTGTTCCCTGTTGTGGGTGCAACCCCGGCTGCGTTACCCTCAGTGCACAGTGAGGTGTCCCCCGACACACCTCCCGTCCCTCCCAGCCTGCATCCCTCCTACGGAGCATCTGCACGGGGTGTGCAGGATGGGGGATGCAAAGACTCTGCCATTCCACTGCACTCGGACCATTATGGTGCAGGATCTGCTGAGCAAGAGGAAGAACAAGGTACAGCGTTTCCTGTAGAAGCGGAAAGAGGTCCCAGTAATAAATGTGAGGAGGCTGAGGCCTCGGAGAAGCACCAGCACTCAGAGGGCAAACAGCAGGGATCCGGCAGAGCTTCTCCTGAGCAGGTAACAAGCTGGGCCTTTGCCCATGGTGCTAATCCAGTGGGTTTGTGGGCAAATCCCCTTTCCAGGAACCTGACCTGGCTTCAGGGGAAAGACCTGTTTGCTGCTAGCCCTGCATGCTGTCTTTCAGCTGACTTACTGCATGTTTGGGTCTCATCTGTTGCCTAAGGTCTTTTGGCCTCAAGAGCAAATTCTTTAACGTCCTGCTTGATTTGAACAAAGTTTCTGGTACCCACAAAGTGGTGTCCACCTCAAGGAACATTTTCAGCTAGTGTTTGGTAAAGGAGATGAAATGGCTTGTATGTGGGATGGGTACTGAGAGAATGACTTGTCTCTGGAGGCTGAGATGCAAAGTGATGGTAGATAATTTTCAGGTGAAGCCTGGAAATAACTTGTCTTGGATTTCTGAGTTTTCAAAGACATGCAAGTACAAAAAGACGTGCTTCTCCCTTGGCTCTCCAGCAGCAGAGTGAATTCACACTTCTGCCTCACTCTTGCAGGTGCTGAATCTAATTTCACAGTTGAATTATCTTCATTCTTTACTTGTCTGTGCAGGACAAAGCTGTAGCAGAACAGTTGATTCCAGTACTGCCGGATGGCCTGAGAGAAGAGAGCTTGCAGCTTCTATCCAAGCTGAAGGTGGGATAACATCAGATAATTGTTACTGAGTCAGTGGCAGCTCTGTGATAGTGAGCTTAACAAAACTGAAATAAAACCTGCAGAATGGGTAGGTGCACAAAGTAGATTGCTGTCTAATTTGATCAGCTGTGTCTCATGGTAAAGCCTGCTGAGGGGTTAGATTGCTCTCCAGCTCCTTCTGACTGATGATTTCAGTGTTTGTGTCTGAATAATGAATTCTAAACACATGCAAGTGCCTTAAGGAACAGCTGCTGCATTTTGTTTTGGCCCAAGGTAAGATGGTCTCAGCCTTTGTACCCCTGTTGCCTGCCCTGTGGCTCCAATAGCCTCCTGTTGCCTTTTGGGCACTAACTAACCCTGTAAGTCCTGTCCGAGCTCAGGCCTCTGCTGGGTCCCTGTCTTTTCAAATGACAAGTGACTTTTGTGAAGTGAGGCGATGTATTTGCTCTGAGGATGAAACCCACCAAGCGCATTCTCCTGGGTGCCTCACTGGCACTTTGTTCAAAATTAAACATCGTAAGCGTAAAGTTTCAGCCTCAAACTCTCCCCACACTGCACGTGAAGCATTGTCCTCAGGCTGTCCCTCCAGGTGAGATAACCACGTCTGGCAGAAGAAAACCAGCCCTGTTTTCTTTTGGGCAGGATTGTCTGAGTTCCTGCGCCGTGGATGTGAGCACCATGTGGTGGGAAGCAGCTGGCTGCAGAGAGCTCTGTGTGGTGACAGCCTGTGAGAGCTCTGTCTCCCTCTGGAAACCCCTGGGGCCTGACCACTGGGAAAAGGTCTACACTTGGCAGCTCGGAGAGGTACCAACACAGTCCTTATTTCTAGAGTTCAGGGCAACTTTCTTGTTCCACATGTTAGTTCCCAGGAAACAAGGAGCTTGTACTGTTGGGTTCAGGGGAAGTTCATTAGGTGGCATAAATTTGTTCATTCCACTTAGCAGCAGAGGAGAATGATTTGCAGTGCTGATGGAGGAGGCCAGTAGCTTGTATGGTCCCGTGTTATCTGCTGGAGTTTGGCTCTTGTACTGAATGGTGGCTGCACTTCAGCCACTGGCTCATGCGCTTTCCCCTTACACTCCCTGGAGATGCTTTTTGTCACTTACATCAACAGAGGTTGTTTAATCAGGCAAACAGTCCAGAGTTCAGCTATTAATCTAAGTGTGCTTCCTCAGAAGGGAAAATCAGCTCTGCTCTGTGTCATTTTAATGAATCACTCTAGAAAATGGCATTGAAGTCAAAGGGACATTGTGGGTGACACTGAATCCTTGCTTTGCTGTCCTAGATTCCTGTAATACAGATCGTTCCTCTGCCAGACTCCTGCAATCTCATGTGTGTAGCACTGGGAGACCTGGAGATTGGAGAAATAAGGTTTTGTATTTATTTCTTACCGCCCTTTGCACCCTGAATAGCCACAGCTTAACTCTCCTCTGGTGTGGCAGCAGAAATGATCCCTTACTAATGTGTCACTTTCTCAGTTGCTTCAACACTTGGAAAATGGAAGAGGTTTCTATAAACCAGCTATAAAGAGCTGCTTATCCATCCCTAGAGGTGTTTAAACGTGCTCATTTTTATATGCTGTGGCATGTTTGAGTTCTGCTTCTCCTTCTCATGAGGTGTGACTTTCTCTTAATTTAGGCTCCTGCTTTATTCATCTGAGACTGACTCATTCAAGCAATCACTAGTGAGAACTGGAACCATAAAAGCTGTTCTCGGGCTGAAGGACAGGAGGCTGGTCAGCAACAGTAGGGCTCTGCAAGAGCAGCACGTGGAAATAGTGTCTTTTTCAGAGACAGGAAGGTGAGTGCTGGGTTTGGGGTGCTCTGTGGGGCTGGTGGAGGAGGAGTGAGGATACGTCTCGGGTGTAGAAGATTGTTGGGTTCCTCTTCTTTCTGGAGATGTGCTGAGCACAGAACACATGCTATTTTGACTGCCCCTTCTCACTTGTTAATCTGCTGTTCAGGAGCAGGGATGGACAGACTCTGATGCCTCCTGAAGAGACTGTTTCAGCTTTTGCTGAAGTGGAAGGAATGAGGGACGCCCTGGTTGGCACCACTGCAGTGAACAGCATTGTCATTTGGTCAGTGATTCCTTTGCTGTTAACTGGTTTAGCTCACTGCTGTGTGTGATGACAGTTGGCTGCAGGATAGTGTAGGGGTGTTGGTTGGTTGCTGCTTTGCCTGTGAAATAGCAGTTGTCAGCAGGCCTGTGGTCTGGCACTTGAACTTGTGTGCAGTGCAGTAGGTGGTGAATGAACTGTGCAGCTGTAACTCCACTTGCTTTTGCACCGTATTCATTACGTTTCTTCCTGTGGTCTCATGTCTTAGTTTGGTTTATGTGGAACCAAAGCTCTGTCCATCTTATATAGTGGTGTTTTCCTAACTGTGATTAGGAAATAATATGTAGAGGATGGAAATGCACTCAGAATTTGTCTGTTCCCCGGCTGCAGGAATCTGAAAACAGGCCAGCTCCTGAAGAAGATGCACATTGGTTATTCCTACCCAGCTTCCATCTGCCATCGAGCCTATTCCGACTCTGTACGTACATGAAATATGGCAATGCTGCACTGACCAACTGAGGGATTGGAGTTTCTAAAGTGGATTGAAATACCAGCCCTATTTAGATATTCTGAAGGTATTTGCAAGGCAGATGGGTTAACCAGGAGAAGTAAGCCCCATTGGCTGCCTTGAATTCCTGGCTTTCTTCTGTGTACTGGTAAAATGAGAGTGTTGCATCAAAAGACATTCCAACGTAGCAGCACCTTGCAGGGGGAAAGCAGAAGAGCTGTTGTTCAGCCCTGGTGCTTGGCACATCTCTTCCATTCCACACTTGGGTAACTGCTGTTCTCAGAAAATCAGTGTGATTATTATCTATATGCACCCCGAGGGCATTAACTGTTTAACCCCAAGCTTCATACTGATGATTCTTTCCCACTTTCTTCCCCCTGTGCTGTGCTTCTTGATGGATTTTTGTGGTTGATCAAGGATTTGTTTTCAGTGGGCATTTAACCTTTTGAACAAGAATTGTCCAATAATGGTGGTTTGAGCCATACTCTTTGGAGACTTCCTCGGAATACCTGTCCCAGGGTGTTCCATGCTGGCCTGTGGCTGTTCTGAGAGCTGCAGGTTTCAGCTGTGCTGCTTTGCATGGAATTCTTGTTAAATTGTAAGCTTTTAGGGATTAAAATGAGGCCCAGAAATTACATCCTACAGCAAGCTTAGCTTTTTCAGACAGGAAGATCAGCGCATAAATCCTCCAGGTCACTGAGCTGTCATTCTCCTGCATTGCATCAGCCCTTATCAGTCAGCAGCTGCTTTGGGTTTTATCTGACTTGATAAGGAAAGTAAAGCATTCCTGTTTTATTCAGTACAAATAATGCATCAATGTCCACGGGGCTTTGATTATAGAGAGAATGCAGCAATTAATTGTTGGAAAATTCTCCGAGTTTTTTTCCCCTCCTGCTGTTGTTTTTAATGATGTATTTTCCCTCTGTGCATCAGGGCCTCCTGTTTGTGGTTTTGAGCCATCCACACGCCAAAGAGAGCGAGTCCTGTGGAAACCCAGCGTTCCGTGTGGTGGTGTTCAACCCCAGCACAGCCAGGAGCAGGGGGGTGATGGCCTCCTCCCTCCCGCCCGGGCACACGGGAAGGCAGGTACCAGGGCTCTGCTCCCGGAGCCCTTTGTGGTGGTTTGGGGGGATCTCTCCATGGGCTGGGCAGTGCTGCTGGCAGGGATCCATTTGCCATCTTGCCGGTGATAAGGGGCTGCATCCGTTGTGCCCTTGGATGTGCTCCAGGGGCTGGAGCAGGGTGAGGGTGTTGGCTGTTTCCTGCCTGCTTCCTGCGCCAGCCTCTGTGCTGACCCTGGGCTCACAGCGAGGGGCTGTGCTCCTGGGGCTCTGCAATGAGGCTTCTGTGTGCTTGTGCTTTCATCTTCCCTGCACCAGTCACTTTGGGAATGCTGGAACTGGGCTCACAGGGGAACCCCCTGAGAAAATGCCTTCAAAGGAGATGTTCCAAACCTTTGAGCTGTCACAGAGCTGTGCTGTTACAGAGGCTTTGCCACCTTCATTTATGCTAAGCAGCTGTGTGCATCCGGGTGACCTTTTCCTCCTCTTCCCTTCCTTTTGGAAAGAGGCTGTTTAAACCATTATGAGATGCTGTGGTGATGTGCTCAGACACCAGCGGGTCCAAACCTTGAGTGGTTTTTGAGCGTGTTCTGGGGCTGGGGGAGGGTTGCATTGACATCCTTTGTTCTCAGATGTGACCCATCCCGCAGCCTGGCTTTCCTGTGTCCCTGTTCATTTGTAGCTGGGACGCTGGCTGGTTTCAGAAGTGATGTGCTGGTGCTTTTGCAGACGCGTGACCCTTGTGTCTGTGTCCCCAGGTACCTGGAGGGTGACGTGAGGGGTGCCTTGGCCGCAGCCGTGCTGACGTCGGGTGCCGTGGCTGTGTGGGACCTGCTCCTGGGCCGGTGCACGGCCCTGCTGCCCCCGGGACCGGCGGGGAGCTGGGCACTGACCCGCTGGGCCATCACTGATGCCTGCACCGGTGCCTGCCTGCTGGCCGGGCAGCAGGACGGCACCGTCTGCCTCTACCGGTACCGGCAGCCTCAGCCTGGGGCGGCCTGACGCAGCACTGCGGGGAGCCTCCGGTTCAGCTCCACCGGTACCGGGGGTCGCGTGTGGCTGCGCGTGCGCCCGGGTGTGTGCGGTGCCATTAAACCACTTGGCTTTAGACCGGACTCGTGTCTGCTGCTGCGCCGCGCCGCGCCGCGCCGAGCCGTACCGGCTGGTCCTCCGGGCCGCCAGGGGGCGCGGCCGCCGCCGCGGGGAGCACCCGTGTGGGCCCGCCCCTCCCCGCCGCGGCGCGGCTCTCCGTGTGCCGGGAGCGGCGCGGTGCACGCTGGGAACAGGTCACCATGGCGGCCCGTGTCCTCTCGGCCTGCGCCCGCCGCCTGCTGCCCCGGGCGGGCCCCGCCGCGCTCCGCTCGCTCTCCCGCTGCCTCCCGCGGGCCCCAACGGCCCCGCCCGCGCTGCTGCCGCTGCCGCAGGTAAGGCCCGGGCCGGGCGGGGCGGGGGGCGGCCGGCGCTGCCCCCGCTGCCCGGTGCCGGTGTCTTGCAGGTGCCGCGGGCGCTGCCGCCCTGCCGCCGGTACTCCGAGCTGCCCCCCCTCACCCTGGACGACATCAAGGAGCGCGTCCTCTACGTCCTCAAGCTGTACGACAAGATCGACCCCGAGAAGGCGAGTGGGGGCCCGGGGGCGGAGCGCGGGCACGGCCGCAGGCAGCTGACCCAGGGTTGTTCTCCCCGTAGCTCACAGTAGAGTCCCACTTCATGAAGGACCTGGGCTTGGACAGCTTGGACCAAGTGGAGATCATCATGGCCATGGAGGATGAGTTCGGTAAGTGCGAGCTGGGCACACGGTGCTTACGGCTGATCCCTTGGTGCAGCTGCAGCACACGGGCACTGCCGCTCCTCTGTGGGCAGCAGCGGTGGCTTTTCCATGCTGTAACTCAGAGGAAATGGAGTGGTTCTGGGTCAGAACGGGAGCTGGTCACTGCTGGCACCAGCAGCCTCAGGGGAGGTGTCTCCCCATCTGTCCATCTGCTGCTGAGCTCGGTCCTTGGCAGCTCCGGCTGCTCTTCTCCCCACAGCCCCTGGGCACCTTCCCCGCATTGCTGGGGATGGGGAGGGGACAGCACAGGGGCTGATCCCAGAGCTGGTCTTGGCTCCCCCTGGGAAATCACAGCTGACCCCAGGTTTTCCTCACCAGGTTGGATTTTTACCCTCAGTACTTGATGTTACTGGGGAAAAAAGGTGATTTTGCCTTATCAATGTATATTCCAAGTTGCTTTTCACTTCATTTTGGACTTCTTTGTGCTTTCATGTAAAGCTCAGACATTCTGCCTAATTTGTCACACCGGGTCACAGACATCCTGGGGTTTGGTTGTTCTCTAAGCCTGGGCAGACGTTGTTTTGCTTCCAGAGCAGTTGCTGTTGCTCTGTGTTGAATTCCCTTGTGTACCATTGGATGCTGTAGCAGTGAAGGCTGGGAAGAGAAGGTGCTTTTCATGGGATGTGGTTCTGAGTGGTTCTGAGCCCTCATGCTCCCTCTCCCCAGCTGTGGCCCTGCATGAGCCAGTGGCTGTTGGGGCACTCGGCAGCAGACTCTGACCAAGGAGCTTCATGCCTGGATGTGCCCGGTGTTACCGGGAGCATCCCCTCTGGTGAAGGTGGTGGTGGCTCCAGCAAGGTGTGAGGGGCACTCGCTGCCTCCTCAGCCTCTCCCTGCCCCAGCAATGGTGCTGAGCAGGGCAAAGCTCAGCGGGAATCCCAGCCCTGTGCTGGCTCTGGCCCTGCTGTGTGTCCCTGGCCGCGCTGTCCCGGCTTCCTTTAACCTTGCTCCCGCTTCCGCTGATCCCAGTTAAGTATGTGCACTTTCATTCCAGGATTTGAAATCCCCGATGGAGACGCCGAGAAGTTAATGTGTCCACAGGAGATTGTAGATTACATTGCAGATAAGAAGGATGTTTATGAATAAAACCAGTTCTCGAGAGCTGAGTAAGTGGAATCGTGCTCCTGTGTCTCGGGTAGCAGCAGTGGGCACAGGGCAGTGTGTGACGCCTGTGAGGGGAGGCTGGGTGAGGGGACAGTGCTGTGGGGCCATGGGGCAGGCAGGGGTTGGGAGGGAGCTGGCAGGGGAAAGCAGAGGTGGTTTCCCTGTGGTGTCTGCTGCTGGAGAGAGGATGTGGAGAGTTGTGGGGCACCTGAAGCACTCGATTATCCACAGCTCTTTCTGTCAATGGGGTTTGACTCTGGTTGTGGAAGTCCCTGGTTTTAATGGGGCAGGGTTGGAGGGCACCTCCAGACATGCTGTGACAGCTCCCGGCATTTCCTGCTGGGAAGGAAACGGGCAGGAAGGGGTGAGTGGAGCCCCTGCCCTGAGGTGCTGCCGGGGAAGTGAGGGGAAATGAGCTGCTGGCCCGGGGCCAGCGTGGCAGCAGATGGGGCCACCTTCCTGCTGGTCCTGCGGCTCCCTCCGGGTCAGCTCCGCTCTGCAAGGATCTGTGCCCCTTCCCTTGGAGCCAAGGCAAGATCCTGGCCATTCAAACGCCCTGTGGGCTCACAGCTTGCTTTTGGTGTCCAGCTTGAGTGGTCTCTGCCTGACCAGTGGGTCTTCCTTGATGGAATACTAAATACGTGATTTTTCTTCCTTCCCCAGGAGCTGTCTCATGGCCAGAACCGGGCTGGGGGCAGCACAGGAACGTGTACGCACAGGCCATGCTGCTGCTGCTTTCATCCGAACCTTGTACTTGGACGTTGTATTTAAATCTGTCTCAATCTGTTATCCTTTAAAAACGAGGAAAAAAAGGAATAAATACACAAGACCAGGGGTGTGCTGCTGGCGTTGCCATCCCACCCTGCCACTGTGTTCACTGGGTAGTGGTGGGTGAGGGACATCCATGTGTGTGTGTTAGGGGGTGAAGGCACCATCAGCTGAGCACTGGGGGAGCACTTGAAGCTCAGACAGGCTCTGATTCTGTCTCCCAAGGAGCTTGTGCTGTTCGTGTGTGTGTGAAAGGGGCTGGTGCCGTGGTGCAGAGCTCTGGGCCTCCCTGCTAACGTTGTCAGCTCTTCCCACTAACTCACCTTCTGCCTGCGCAGTGCATTTCATCCCGGTAAAAACAAGTGGTGTTTGGTGGGAGATAAAGGGGAGAGGGGTTTCCTGCTGCTCAACAACACAATCCCTCCCGTGTCCCTGTGAGCCCGGCACGGGCTGCTCGCTTTAAACCTCTCCCGAGGCAGGAACAAGTTATTTCTGGACCGTGCACAATTCTCTCTCTGTGCCAAGAAGCACTGATGTGTCAGAGGCGCTGCAGCCAAGTGAGCGCTGCTGGGGCCGAGTCCCTTGGCCATGGAGGGGGTGCAGGGCGGGACATGGCCCCGTGTCCACTGCACGTGGGGCCTGAGCGTGCCCCGGGTGTTCCCTGCTTCCTCACCCGGCCGAGGGACCTCAGGCACAGGGTTTCGCTTTCACTGTGTGCGAGGCCGGTGCTGGTGGAGGCTGCTCCGTTGCTCCTTCACCCAAATGCATCCTGACGCCTCTCCTGAGCAGGCTGCAGCCGGAGTCCGGGGGAGTTTTGGACACCGCATCCATGGTGGTTTTCCCCAGTCCTGCTTGGAGATGGGAGTGATGGTGGCTGCGGAGCCATCCCTTTGTGCCCAGGTGAGCCAGTGCTGGTTCTGTTGGTGGTGGTGCCCTGGGTGATTCATGGAATCCCAGCCTGGTTTGGGTTGAAGGCACCTTAAAGCTCCTCCAACCCCTGCCACGGGCAGGGACCCCTTCCACTGGAGCAGCTTGCTCCAAGCCCCCGTGTCCAACCTGGCCTTGAGCACTGCCAGGGATGGGGCAGCCACAGCTTCTCTGGGCACCCTGTGCCAGCGCCTCAGCACCCTCTCAGGGAAGGGCTGTGAAGCCCTCGGCGCCCGCAGGAGCCTTTGCCCCGGGGCAGCTCCCGCGGTAACAGCTCCCCCGGGGCCGGTCCCGGCGGGACCCGCGCACGGAGCCGGGCGGGGGCGGTGGGGCGGGCCCGGGCCGGGGGCTGCGGCTGCCGGCGCCTCCGCCCCTCCGCAGCGGGGACGGGCGGGGGCTTCCTGCGGCCGCTTCGGCAGCGCCATGGAGCGGCTCCGGCTCCCGCCGCTCTTGGCCGCCGCAGGTGAGCGCCGGGTTCCTCGGGGTGGGGGGGGATGCCCGGCTCGGGGTGGGGGCGGCCGCGGTTGGGGGGTGCGAGGTGGGGCCGGTACCGGCAGCGGCTCGGGGGGGGTCTGAGCTCCGCGGCTGCACCGGGGCGGCACCGGGGGGGGCTGATCCGGGGGTGCCGGCGGGCAGCGGGTGACAGCCGGGGTGCGGGAGCAGCGGGAGCCCCGGCGAGGCGGTGCCGGAGGCTCAGGGTGACCCCAGCCCCACCGCTCCCGTCGGTGCCGGGACCCAGCGCCCTGCCCGGGCAGCGCCTGCCCTGGCCCCGGCCCCGGCCCTCGCCGGCACGTGGGGGCTCGGCTCTGGTGTGGGTCAGGGCAGAGCGGGCGCTCCAGGCGCAGGGCAGCGGGGCCGGTGCGGCAGGACCCGGTTTGGGTCCTTGAGATGAGGGCGGGGGCTTCCAGCTGGGCTTGGGTTGTTCTGGAGCATTCCCTTCACCTGTGCCCGTGGGTACGGAGGGAGGCTCGGACCCCCCTGCCCACACCTGCAGCTCCTGGGTCCCGGTGCTGATGCCCGACGTCCGGCACCGCTGCTCACCACTCCTTCCCCTCTGTCCTCAGTGATCGTGGGATGCTGTGCACGGCTCTGCCCCTGTCTGACCACCGAGATGGGCCCCACACCCGTCACTGCCGTCTCCTGCACCCACCCGGGCACCGCGACGGGGGCGGGCTGCCCCACAGGTACCGTGAACCCTTGGTCTGTAGCGCCATGAGCTGCCCATGTGTGTTGATGCCGAGCTGGCTGCTGTGGGGCGCTGCCCATGGCTCAGCCCTGCCCAGTGTCCCCCCACTTTCGCCTCTGCCCATAGATCCGGAGCGAGGAGCTGAGGTGGGGCAGGCACCGACACCGGAGGCCGTGGGGCTGCTGCGGACAGGGGCTGAGCTGCTGCCGTTCTCTGGGACCCCCACCGGGGCCGCCGAGACCCCCGGCCCCCGGCGGAGCCCCGCAGGCCCCTGGGCAGGCAGGGACGGAGCAGC